ATGTTAATTCTCAAGAGCTGAGTACTCATGGAATAAAGTTGCTATATATCCTTAAAAATAATGGTAAGAAAGTATCAAACCTAAATCAAAACAGTCTTTAAGAGACAGGAAAAGCAAGCACTCTGAGCAGATAAAGGTGATATCAGAAAACAATCCACCACATAGCTCTACCCATGTTTAGCAAACCCAGATGCATTGAACAGAGCTAAGTCCCACGACAGTTCTGGACCCAAACATAGCACCCTCACTAAGCTCCTCCTTCTGCATTTCCTTTTCTCAGTTAGTTCAGCACTCAACACAGACACAGGCTGCACGTTCACAGTGACTACATCTAAAAAGACCTCCCTGTTTCCATGCAGCCTTGTTCAGAAATGTTTGTTAAGCAGTTATTCAAGCCCAGTTAACACAATACCAACAGCAGTTGATAATAATTCTACAACAGAGGACACCACTGCACCGGCTGTATGGGTAATATCTTTGTCCAAGAAGCCTATTTCAACCACTTATTGGGAGAGTCCAGTGTATTCACGTTCTGAACAGTGGGTAATCCTTATAGTGTCCAAGTCCTTTTGGAAATCTACCCTGCAAGTATGTAAGTGTTGAAGTTACCTAAAAGATTTTATGGCTTGGAGAGTAATCCAGTTTCCAAACACTTCACACATACGTGCTCCAAGACCACAACCTTAGCATTAGCCCCTCAGCTTTGAATCTCTAGTTTAAAACCCTAGTATCCAAAAAAACTCAAACCAAAACAAAAACCAAAACAAACCAAAAATTTTCTGCATTTGAAATTTTGGCAGATACAAAGTTTGATTTGGGATTCCACATTTCAAGTAGATGAGGTTTTTAAGAGTGCTTCATTTTTTTAGTTTACCATTTATTTATAGTTTGGTACAGCAATGAAAAACAATCTCAAAAGTGTTCCATTAAAATCATGCTAAATAAATACAACACATATGAACACACCATACCTACTCTATGTAAAGAAGTTTAGGAATAGACCCTAGATATATATTACCATTGCATGAATAATTTTTTTAGTCTTTCAACCAGGCCACTGAAAAGAAGAATGCATTCCAGATGCAGTAAGTTGGAACAGAACCTTCTGAAATGCGTTAATGAACTGTAAGGGAACCCAGCACATTTTAACGGCTATTTAGTGAACTCCTGTTCCAAACATGTCCGCTTCAGGTGAGGCCTCTTGCATGCAGGTACTCTTCAACTTCACAAATTTCCATGTAATAAAGCAAGGCCAAACACAGTCACCTTCTTTGGCTTACCATATAAAATAAAATGCAGGACTCCATGAAAGTCACACTTCTTAAAATTAAAGTGCAGTTTTTAGAACAAAAACCATCTTCTATAAATGGGAAGAAATGAAAAATACACCATGGTTTTTCAGTACACAGAGAAAGTATATTGGATCAAATTGCCACGACTTAATCTGAACATGCAGCTTCAGGAGCAAATTCAGTTAAAGCTGGAAAAAAAAGAGCCTGATTCACAGAAAAACAATACAAAACAAATCTATCAGGATAAGTATTAAATTATTTTTGACTCCACCTTAGTTACCTTTGTACAGAGGGACAAGCACATTCTGAGTTTTTGACCTTAAGAATGCTTGATGCTATGCTTGGATCTGATTATCAAGATCGTCGTATGTTTTTATGTCCTGCTATCTGATTAACACTCACCCTATAACACTTACCTTCCAGAATCGAAGAAGGCTGCTCATCCAGAACAAGAAGGAACTAATAACAAGAGTATCACTTGTAGCTATAGTTTGTCACTTCAAATTTTTGTTACATAGATAAATAGATACTAGTTCAGATGTGGCAAAATGAATGCTGAGGTCAAAGGAATAATATAAGTGGCTCTGATTTCAACTATAAGCACATCCAGTACTGCAGTCCTAGCTGTTCTTCAAGCCTCTTCTCAAGTATACAATTTCATCATCACAGAGCAACAACAGAGAAGAATAAAATGATTTTATGAAGTTCAGCTTATAATTATTTGTGCATCTAATTCCTCATTATCTCTATTAGTGTTACAATAATACAACCTAGGAGTAATCCTGACCTTGTATTACTAAAACCTTGCAAAGTTTGCTGAACTATCATAGCAACCCATTGGGATATACAACACAGCATATAATAATACACTTTCAACACTCAGCTGCACAGAAACAAGCACTGCATAAGTATACTGACTAGGACACACTGCAATATGTACTTAATAAGAGGATTGTCTCTTGCAAAATGTTAGGAACCATCTATACATACAATGCTCACACAGTGACTGTGTGATGTCACTAAGGTGACTAACTGGCTGCCTTTGATTACAGGATGTCTTGATGCATTACATTAAGATAGTTCCTCCCAAAGACCTATTACTTCTGCTATATTCTCTGTAGTACATCTAGTTGGTTCACATAATAGATGTGTATTTGGCATTCTTCCTTGCCTGTTTCGTCTACTAGACTGCCTCTTATTAGCTTGCAAACTGCAGTGGATGTAGACTTCTTCTTTACAATGTTTTTAGAGAAAGAGGCATCTTACACGGAGAACCAGAGATTAAATTATAAAAAGACCCTCAGTGGACAAATGAAGATTATGAATGGATTGTTTTGATTCATCACTTAAATGCATAAATTCAAACAGGTTTGGTGAAAAGTTTCTGATTTTTTTGCATTATTTTTTGTTAATTACAGAAATCATACTTCATTATCATTTTGCCCAAAGTGTTCTCCCTAATATCTCACTTAAAATCTCAGTTTAAAACCTTAAATTTTATTTATATGATAGTAAATTTCACTGCTTGGTGAGAAAGGTATGAAGTCTGGCTGAAGTACAGTTTTCTAAATATACTGAGAGACTTGCTCTCTCTGCCATGGCACCTTAGCATTAGAAAGCCAAATGTGTTTTTCCAAATGTACATCATTTGTGAAATGGTAAAGGAAAAAAGCTGCAAGCTGTTTCACCCAAACCCTACCAAAGAATGCCATCTCTGCATGCTTGTCCCAAGAAAGGGGGCCTAACATTTTGTTACACTTCTAAACATGAAAGCAGGATAAGCATGTGGCTGCTGTTTCTGATATGCGAACTTCTTGGCACTATCCAGCAATACTTGCTGAGGTTCGGTAAAATTAATCACATTTGTTAATGTTTATGAAAGCAATCACTCTTTGAGAATATAGACACCACATTTTTTGTGACACAGCATGTCTCGGCACACACTTTGGTTTAGGTTTAGTAATCTCAAAAACGTTATCATAATAAGTCCGTTATCCACTTAAACATTAACATATTTACCATCAGTGAATTATGATTCCTTCAAAGCTAAGAACTCCTCAAGGAGGCGTCATAATCATGAGGTCACTGTAAGCATCTTTTCCGAACAGGCATGGCAGGGAGCACAGAGTGCTACTAACACAGTGTTTTTCCCCAGTCTTACTGGACCCCTCATCATAATTCTCCTACTAGAAAGACCCTGGGTAGTTGCATTACTCTTTTTCTTTTTTCTCTATCACCATTCCTGCCCTCTTTCTTCATACTGTTGTCTGTCTTCACTCATCTGCTGATATCTATCTCCTTTTTTCACATGCTATTCCCTTGAAAAATTACTTTCTTGACTCCTACTAATTCTTTTTTCTCTTTCTCTGACCCCACAAAGCTGATGAGAAATCCCTGAGGAGGAACTGAAATTAATGGTAAACTCTGAACCAATATATCTGGATAGCAGAAAAGATAATATTATGTAATTAAAAAAATATATTCAGAGAGCAGAGAGCCTGAATTCAGGCTCTGGTGTGACAAAAGGGAATCATTAAGAGTCTTCCTAGTGTTGTAACACAACCTCTACTGGGTCCTTCAAGAGAGAAATCTGGGGAGATATCCGCTCTCCCTGAAGGAGATTGGCCCTTTCAAGTAACAAAAGTGAAAGAAAAAATTTTCCTCTATCTACTGTACAAGCAAACATCTACATCATAGTAAGAAAATTATTCAACAAGGCACACTCTGGAATAGACTTCTAGCACTAATTTATCTTTCACAAAATATAAACAAATAAGGGTTTTCTTCAAGTGAATAATAATCAGCAGTTATTCCTAGAAATTATATATGTGTTGTTTTGTTAGGTTATGCTGAGGACTGGAAATAGCACTGGTGAGGCTGCTTTCTACTGACACTAAATAAGCACTTAGTAAGGGCAAACGAATTGTCATCCAAAATACAAACTATATGTAAAGCCAATCAAGAATCTGAATTACAGACATTATAGATGGTTCACTGGAGTCTAAACATAAACTGATTCTCTGTTTTACTGGCTTGATTGTTACCCGATATGATTACATATGTGTGAGACTGACTTGCAGTGACCAAAAAACAGCATGATAAATATGACTTTGGGGGTTGAACACTCACTGCTAGAATCTGTGAACAGAGAAATTGTTACGTGTTTTATTCCTACTGTATTCACGGAAACAGGACTGTGGGTCTGGTTTTTGTTAGTAATGAAACAAACAACAGCCTCAAAAAATACGCAACTCTTCTCAGTTTCTCATGGTAACATTACGCAAGATTCTGAAAATTCCTCAAATAAAAAAGGAGTAACACAATGCAAGAATATTTCAGGAGAAACTGTGCCATCTATTCTGCAGCACTTTTCCTGCAGGCCTCCTTCATGCAGGTACTTAAGTACTGATAGTACTTAAGTTTTGCTTTATGAAGGTCTACCATGTCACTTTCACAGTCTACAGTAAAAGTTTATAAATTTAGAAAATAACATTTTGTCCATTCCTCTGTCGGTACATATCAAAGTAAAGAATACCTTTCCTTTCTGTCTAGGGGGAAAGATGGAGCTGCCATTCATTCACACACTTTGAAAAAGCACACCATTAACTAGGAAAAACAAAGGTAGAATTGTAACTTCTCTATATTTTTGTAAGTAATAGAGAGTAATAGAGTACCTTTACTGGTAAGAGAGACAGAATTCAGACTTACTGTGCATTTGTTCGGCTTCTCTCCTGAGTGGACTCTCATGTGAATCAGCAGTTTATAACGGGCATTAAATGGCTTGTACCTTCGTGGGCACCCTGCCCAGAAGCAAGTGAAGTCCTCTCCCTTCCTCTGGTCTATATGGATCTTCTCTATGTGCCGCACAAGTTCCTCTTGCTGGTCATACAGCACACCACAGTCAACCCAGCGACACCCATGCTTGCCATTGAAATCATCTAGCTCACCATCTTCACCAAGCAGGGAGCCCAGCGCAGAAGGAAGCACAGGCAGGGGATGGATGCAATTGGGGAGGCTGTGTGGATGCCGGTGCTGGTGAGCATGGTATGGCGGGGGTGGCCCTTGTGGAGGAGGTGGCGGCAGCAGGGGTGGAGGGGGCATGTCGACTCCATGGCCTGAGAAGTCAGCCAGCTGTTCATTTTTCCAGATGCCCACTGCCGGGCTGTCTGTGGGCAGCACACCATGCTGGATCACCATGTTACTTGTGGCGGCCATCTGCAAGTTGGCTTGCTCCAGCTGCTGCATCCGCTGGTACTCACCAGCCCCATTCTCAATGTACCCTGGGAAGGTGACATTGCCATTAGCCATGAGAAGGCCTTTCTGGGCAGTTGGAACAGAGCAATTTTGGGGTATACAGCTTCCTCTCACTCCCAAAAAATGTCCATAGACCTCCGGCTGCGGGGAGGCATTTGCTGGTGATGTTCTGGAGCTGTTGATGTAGGCCACCAGTGAGGTTGGGGATGTACGGATGATTGTATTGAAGTCGATGCCAACGCCATCAGACAGAGGAGACAGAGAGAGTGCTCTCTTTCTGGAGCGGGCTGACTGAGACCGAGCTGAGGAATGGCAAGGACTAGAGTAAGGAGAATGCTTATTTTCCTGGACATGTAAGTAGGATGGTAACGAGTTAGAGACACACTTACTGGACACAGACGTTTCAGGTGAAAAATTTAGTAAGTCTGCTAGCTCACTGCCATTTTGTAAACCTTGGTCAGGAGGAACAGAAGGAAGTGTCCTGTACCCATGCAACCACTCTTGCTTAACACTTAAAGTGGACTGACTTTCTGACAAGCTTAATGTCGTAGAGGCCAGAGACTCACATGACAAGAGCGACCTGGAATAAAGGCACAATAAAGTAAGTAACCAGTTAGAAAATTCAGCAGTGGTTCTTCTCTCTTCACACACATATGAAATTAAAGAAAGGCCACACGTGAGAGAAGCTCTCCCTAATTTTAGGTACTCAACTTGAGCACTCTCAGTTAATGTGCCAGCAGGCATACACAGGCAATACATATGTAACAAGGTCACTTAGGAAATCACCTTTAAAACACCAAGATTTTGAAGAAAAGTTGCTGTAAAGGTTCTTGATACATCACTGCAGAAATCAATGCAAACTTTTTCCTCAAGTGTGCTGTAAATAGGTTTGGGCTTCTGAAGCCAAAGCATTATGCTCCTGCCTTGCATGAAACATATTGATTTGAGTTTACTATTATTTTTGCTGGGAAGAAAACTGATTAATAAAGAATAAAAATTTAACCTGAATGACTTTGCCAGTTGTAATACATACAATCAGTATTCTCCACAGAAATAGCTCAAGTTTATAAATGCAGATAATATCTAACTTTACAAAACAAACAAAATAAATTAATAATGTAGAAGAACTGGTTGAAGGGGTTTTTTTAGTTTTAATTTGATGATGTGTGTGCCTCCAAGTCAGTAATCAAAATTTTTCATGGAAGCATAATCTTTCTGTTATCACTGTTTTTTCACATAAATACTATGAAACTTATTTACGCTGCAAAGGTTCTACCGGTAGCTTAAACAAAAGATCTCATAAGCTCTTAACAATATTGCTTTCTACAGTAAGGTATAAAAACAAAACACAAGGACATCAGGGTCCCTGATTCATGGCTGCAAATGCTGGGTAGAGGCCAAGTGGATTTATGTCTTTATGTTTCCAATTCACATCTTGGCAGACTTTGATGTCCTGTCCAAACATTTTTTTTTTTTAAGGGGTTCTAACAGTAGGAAGAAGCAGGTATGTATCTTGATAAACTCGAAGATCTCACGGACATAAAAGCCTCTGCATCTTATGTTTTGGAGGTTAATTCCTGGGTTTATTATTTTCACAACACACTTTTGAAGAGGCATAGAATTTTGACTGTGGATCAAGTACATAGGAAATTTGGTTTCTCTTCTAAATCTAAAATGAATTTTTTTAAGGTGGACAAGTCAATCACTGCTTCTCAGCTTCTCACATGAAAAGCAAGGTAGACAATAGTTCCTCCTATTGTACAAAGACTTCAGGAGGGCAAATTAACAACAGACAGCTAATAAGTGCTAATAGGTACCTTAAATCACACGTGTTGAAAAATATTTCTTAAAGCTCTAAGTAAACATATATTGAAATATTTACATGCAATAATCCAAAGGAACTGTCATGTAGGCAAGGAATAATGTGTTCTTATTTACAAAAGTAAGTTTCTACAGTCAGTTATTTATAATTATGTTACTGCATAGTTTTAAATTGCTACAAACTTTGAATTTCTAAAAGAGAAAGTGTGCATTATGAAGAAAATTTTTTTTCAAATCTCTTCCTTGATACAGATGAAGTCATAGCAAGCACCTTTGTGAAGGCACTTTTACCTATTTTACTTTTTTTTTTTTAAAGGGAAGCAAGTTTTGATGTCTACTCAGGGTAAGTGATATTGCAGTTTTTTCCAAGTCCTGCAAGATTTTCTTACAGACACTGCTTCGGAAAACAAGAATCCATGGGACAGATCTGTTAAGACTAATAGCTGCATTGTGTGTCTGCACCACATTCCTACTGGAGTGACTGCAACTACATGGAACTAATTAATTTAAGAATTGGTGGTAAGCTAAAACTATGAATCTGAATCCCATTTAAAACATCGGTCAACCCAAGAGAGCAAGAACAGAACCTAAACAATGGCTCTGGGGATAGCTTCAGTGAATACAGCAATATTTACCAAATTTCCATTATTTTACTTGGTAAATTGACTTTTCACCTCTGAGATCTGTGAATTATCTTTCAATTAGATCATCAAGGTTGGAAGAATATATGAAAACACAAGGTAAAGTCATTCAGGCAAGAGAAAGGTATATAGCTTTCCACATTCAGTTCTAGCCACAGAAGTTAAAGCTGAAAAATCAGTGATCTGATTCTGCCTACCACATAAGCTCTCTGAGTGATGGTTTTTTTCCTCCTACTTAATATTACAGCATTTTCCAGCACTTGACAGTAAACCAACATGAAGAAATAAAAGTTGTTTTGCAGTGACTTCAGTTTAAGGGCTAGATTGTGCTGCAAGAACACAACCCAGTCATTGACAAAGAGCTGGAGAAGGATAGCTGGTGCTCAGGGCACTGTGGCTGGCCCCTCAGCCCCTTTTTGTCTACAGGAGAAGCTCGGAACAGGCTGAGGGAGGAGGCAGTTTGCAGGTGCTATGTTTACACAGTGAGATAGTTCACAAACAGTGATAATGTAGCTTTAAATATACCCAGCCTTGCTCCTTTGCTCAAGATACTTGCTTTGTAATGGGTGGTTGATTTGCTGTATCAGAGTAAGAAACATCTTGTTCAGATTGAAGGTCAGTATAAGGTACTGTTACAGAGGTTATGTTACTCCATCAGGGTTTAAATGGCACTTTCAAAAGAGAGCACTGAAGAGAAGCACAACTAGTCACAAATGAGGACTACAATTTGCATTGAGAGAAATGAGAAAAAAAAGGGATTGCTATATCAGGTCAATCTTGTGTAAGATTTAGATCTAAAAGGATAATTATTTGTGAAAAAAAATTGATTCAGGCTGTTGGGTCTGTTATCAATGGGTTTTGTTAAAGCACAGTTCATTACAGGGCAGTTAAGTCATGTTAGTATGCTGTGACCCCAAATACAGATCCACAGTTTTCAACAGAGCAAAAGTTTGATTTTTTTCATGCTAGACTATATATATATTTATATCTGGAAAATATAAAGAGGGGGGTTTTTGCCAGTTTCATGGTTTAGATTTTTAATTTCTCTTTGGTAAGTAGTGAAAAAAATCATGTATCAATATTACAAGTATATTTTTGTAATGTCAAGAATTTAATCAGATACATAGTAGGACGAGTGCCATTCAAAAGGCTACTAATGCCTAACACAAAAGGACATACCCATCAGTGAAGCTGAAGCAAAACTGCATTTTAAAAGTCCTCATAACAGGACAAAAATAAATAGCTGTCCCAGAATTTCAAGTATGCAGTGAGAGTCAGATAATCTGAAGAAGTCTGGCTCTCACTTAAGCCTCTAAATTCAAAAGTAACAAAAAGTCCAGCTCCCCCAAAAAATAAAATTTCTTTAAAACCCATCCCACACTGTGACTAAGTAGTCTTCTGGGGGAAAATAAAACCTAATATGAAAACGAAGGGCCAGCTATACCACTGTGCTGGATTCTCAGATGGTATTAATTGGCACATCTGCTTATTGTAATCTAAACCAGTTTGAGTTTGGACCAGAACATTTGTTTTACGAACATTTACAAGAGATTCCTGCAATTATTTTCTATTTGCCCTCTGTGAACAAAGGTCACAGTGTCAAGTGTAACCCAGAATCTTAAACACAAACATGGAAGAGTCAAAACTATGCTTTCTTATCTTTTTGTATAGTCTTCTGTTTTATTAGCCAAGAACCCGTTGCTCTTTCCTAGGTCCTTTTCTGACCTGCATCAAAGTAAATGGCAGTATTACATCTGGTTTAATGTGGCGTAACTAAATACTTCGAGAAAGTTTTTGGGAAATTGTCAGAAAAGATGGGAAAGGTTTTCTCCCTCCTGGTCCATATACCAAAATCTGATGATATCTGTAGCAAAAGTCCAATTTTGCCAACTTTTTTCTTTCTTCCATCAGTAAAAATCGGGACAAGACATTTTGGTTTGGGTCAGTTCAGCAAATAAACTGGTCTGGACTGAGCTGCCACAGCACACTTCATGACCCGTAAGAGACACAATCCAGAGAAGGCCCTCAGCCTGTGAAAGATTATGGAGTCAGTTTAGGCAACCACTTTAGACCCATGCAGTTTATTGCTGAAGCAATTGGATGGGGGGGAGGGAAGTGTTTCAACAATCTGTGAATTAAAATCTGACTTTAAACTTGTTTTGCCCTATTAAATAGTCAATGTGAGGGCAAAATTGCTGAAATAGACATTCTTTCTGTGACAAACTGATTTTATAACATCTTCATTGATAAATCATTAAAAGACACTCTAGTGACACTACAGCCTCCATTCTGCCAGAGTTTCAACTTCAGTTCGCCCTTAGTAAATGTTTCTTTAAAATAAAAACAAAAATGTATAACTCAGTACTGACACAGTATACCCAACCACACATTCAGATAAAAGTCTATGGTGTAACCATACAGGCACACCTAAAACTTATTAAGTAATAATTAATTAATGACATTCTTATATCATCAGTTTTGCTCTGTCTCAAAGGCATGTCTCTGGATTTGTCTTTACCTTTTGCACTGAATGGTTTTCCCTGACACATTTTCTTAGGAAGCATAATTAATTTTGTAAATTTTCACAGGGGACTCAGTCTTCACAACTGAAGTGACAGAAATGTCACAAACTACCTTACAGTAGAGTAAAGCAAGGTTTTCTTCCAGTTACATAACACCAATTTCAACTATTTCAAGAACACTCTTTGACTTGTAATAAAGTGATACAGTACAACTGTTTTGAGAATAAAGACTTTTCTGGCCTTTTGTAAATAAGAACAATTATGTTTCAACTCAGTAGACAACTGTTGCACGAGTCACATCTACAAAAGTGAAATAACACACCGGAATGTTTTCTCACTGTATGTTTAACTAATATCCAGGGATGTGCTTAATGTATATGTAGGGAGGTTGTCAAATAACTATTTTCCCTTCATTAGCCATAATCTCAGAAGTTATTTAAGCATTTAATCATTAATTAACAAATATTCATCTGTCGTTTAGTGATATAAAAATGCAACATGTACAGGGAGAGGCCATAGTTTTTATTAAACTACACACCAGAGCTAGGAAAATGTACAAGTTTTCAGGGACATGTGTCTAACACAGATAAAGTCAACTGCTGGCTCAGCGCAGACTGGGAACAATTGATTTGATTAACTTAATTATGTAAACAAGTAAACAATTTTAAAGCAAAGGTATTTAATGAGGAGAGAGGAACGTTAGCAGGCCATTTAAATTTATTTTGTCTGACATTAGTGCTACTTGGCAGACACCACTACAACTGGCTTAGCCCTATGGTATGCTCAAAACAGGTCACTGCCCCTGAAGATGTAACATGGACTATTTCCGCTTTCATCCTCCATAACACTTCCTGTCCTTAGTGCAAAAATACAGTTAAGTGACTATAAAAATATTTATCTAACAAAAAAGACTTATATAACATAGAAAATGTATGGCCAGATTTCACCATGATTTGAATGATCCAAACAGTATGATTAAAGCTGATGTGAATTAAATTAGGTTGAATTATACTTCCCATGGCATAACAGAGCATCATTTAGGCCATTCTAATAATCATAAAGGTTGCATTTAAATTACAGGAGAATTAAAATACCCTCTTTTAAAAGTACTGAATATAAAAAAGTAACTCAGGACCTTGTATCTGATGGAGAAGCACTCAGGCTGATCTGGCTGCATGCTGTTGAAACCTGATTGGAAGGAGGTGAAACAGGTCTCAGCTGTTGAACTGTCATGGGACTGCTGGTGTCTACTACATGGTTGCAGCTGCCTTTTCCAATGGACTTGCACTGGGGTCCTTTACCAAGACCTCCTAAAAATAAACAAGGCAAGTTAGTATTCATCTGCCATGAACCCATGATGAGGCCACAGAACTCACATCACTTTGCAAGGCAGGAAAAGTGACTGGAATTGAGTGTCTTCATATGAGGACAAAAACGGGGACCAACACACAGATTTTGCAAAGTTCTCCAAGCATAAAAAGCAATATTCTAAAGGAGAATTAACAAATTATGCATGTTTAAAGCATGTGTTGTAGTACCTAAACTAAAGACCAAGCATCACGGGTAAACACCAGAAAAAACACCACTGGAAGACTCCAGGTAAAAGAAGAGCAGCCCTCAGCTGAGGGACAGCTGAGCCACAAGCACACCTTTCTCTGAAGAAGAAGGGAAGAGAGAACCCAAGGATGCTGCAGGACCCCCACCATGCCTTGAATTCTGCCAAACCCCACAGCTTCAAGCCGTTGCAAGCCCTTCCATCATTCCTACCACTAGCCATCCAAAAAGCAAAGGGACTGCACGCATGCATGCACATTGCAACCCCTGCAATAGGTCAGGTGTGGCAAAGTGGACAGGCTGCATCGTTTCCCTGGCCGAAGAGTTACAGCTGGAACTCAGTGCTCCTTAGAGGTCTGGGGAGAGGAATTTGAGCTGGATCAATCAGAGAAGCATTCTGGACTTTCTTTAAAAGGCCACAATCTGCTCTTAATCATTTCTGCCATGACTCAAACTGATGGCTGTTACACAGTAGCACAAGATGATTACTGTGGTAGCTGGCAAGTGGGACGTAACTGCAAAATTCTCTGTGTACTTTGTGTTCCGATTTAGGTCACAGATGGTGGTTTACAAGATCCCCTGCACTAAAACACATCAAGATGAAAAAGTTAAAATGTAGGTCACAATATGGAAGTTGTTGGATATCTATCAAATTCTCATCACAGTTGGAAATTAATAATTAGATGATCCACATTTCTAGCTGCTTCCTTGTGTTCAGAGTACTCCCCAAAGCAGGATAGCAACATCAGGACAAATAGTGAAAAGTACTTCAATTTAAACCATTTTCTAAATTAAATCTATTTTTGACTTGGTTGTACAACTCCCATACTGGTTTTTCTCAAGGATGTTCAAATGGGTTGTGAACTTCACAAAGAAGTACATTAAGGTATTTATGGCCCCCACTGTCATAGGAAAAAAGTCCAAATACTTCAATCTCCTCCCGTTCAAAAAGGATTAGCTTAAAAATTTGCAATTCATCCTAGAAATGTCAAATTATAGCTTTAAAAAAAATATATAACAAATATGTTTGCTCCTGTTCAGAGGTCTGTGCCTTTTTCAATTTATTCTTCTTTTTGACTAATCAGGAATATCACATGTGTATGTAAGAAGCACATACATCATTCTAAGTCCACTGGGATCCTAAGTGTTTTATAAAGTCATGTACAGATGTTACAAGTTGATTGCATGATCCACCACCAAAATGTACTCCTTGGGATGAAATATGGCAGCCCTTTAAGAAAAATAACTTATTCATTGCTACTACTTTTAAATGAAGTGAAGAATATAGCATTTGGCTGAAAACTCACAGGTAAGGGGAAAAAAAAATTAATAATAAAAACCATCCTGAAATCTAGGTAGAAGGACTCGAAATTTCCAAGGACAAACTTGTAAGAACAATTCCTTGCACTGCACTTAACTCCAGTGTGGGTACCAGAAAAAAAACTTTTAAGCTTTGTAAAATTACTGTCTGTTCTTACTAAAGATGTCCAATTAAATCAAAGGAATAAGAGAAGACATTTTATTGTATTTCCTGTGTGGCGGTTTGTATTTTGAACTTACTAAAGCTGAAGCAGTGTGCTATTCAGAAGTTGCTTTTGTAACATCACAGAGTGCTAAAATGGAGCAAGCCAGCAAAAATTAGCCAAAAAGCATAAATTGTCCCTGGCAATAATATGAACACTACTCCTCTTAAAAAAAAGGGTGGGTGGGATGAAGTTAAAAATTTACATTCATATCATCACTTTCAACAAATTTCAGTGGAAACAATAACATCTACTTTATCATATCCAGGAAATCAAGGGCTATGCACTTGCAAGATTTTCATTTAGGGACAGGCCATATGTCACCTAGTTGGTTGAAACAACAGTCTGCAACCATAAAGTGAAATCGCTATTTATACATGATTAAGCCTGGGCTGCTTGGAACTTCATGTCAGAAAAAAAATATTAAAAAATCCCAAGAGTAAAACCACAAAAGGAGTAGTGTCAAAGGAGTACTGTTAAATATAGAATGCTGCATCCTCAATACATCCTGGTTTCCCTTTCAATTATTGAGTCTGCTATTATTAGCTGTCCATAAACAGCACCTCACTGATACTGAGAAGAGCTAAGAGAATTTGTTGTGTAATGATGAAGGCCAAAGATGGTCTGGTCACCGGTCACTGGAAGGAAAGAAATGAGGAAAGGAGTACTTCGGAGAGATTGTATCACTGGGATAACAGACAAAAGTAACACAAGACTCCAGTTCTGACAAACATTTACCTGGGCATTTCTCTGATGCAGAATTGGAAGGAAAAGGTTTTGCTCTTTTTATCGCTGATAAACATTTGCTGTTACAGGGAAAAATGACAATTCCATTTAAAAAGCAGGGTGGGAGGATGGGGGAACAGAGATTATAAAGAAAGAATCTGTCATCAGCTCCCACCGTTGAAAGAGACTGCAAAGTAAAAGACTACTGCTATGAAAAGCCAAGTCATAACATTTTGTCCACTGTTCCATACAGGTGTAACTGTGCAAAAAAAAATCATTAATACCTCATCTGTGCCCTGCAGGTCATGGAGCAGAATTAATTTTATCTGAATCAGGCATGAGCGTACAATCACATCTGTTGAGCTAAATCAGAGTACAAGATAGAAAGCTTATGCTGGCTTTAAGTCAGCTGCAGGAGCATAGACCACATCCGATCTGACATAAAGTTAAATGGGTGCAGTGTGGTCATCTGACCTGACACGAGCCTGCTGCTAAAAAGCAAGATGTCAGAAAATGTGTTCAAAAGCATTGAATAAATGTGAACTGGCAGAATTACTATGTCCCACATCAGCATTTGGCATCATGTACCCAAGAGGAGCAAGACTGCAAAAGGAGCCCTCAGTCCAGGTTTGCTGTATCATTGACCAAAAGCCTGAAAATTTCAGGACAGTGAAAGGACAACCAGTAATTCCCTGGTGTCTTGAATCCACATAAGCTGAGCTAAATGGGAACCTCTTTGGAGGACATCAGAGGGTTTCGAATGAGGCTGAAGATTCTGAGAAAAATACATGGACCTAATATTTTAAATAAGCAAGATAAGCAATTTATTTTCTTATATGCTAAGATTTAAATCAGGAGATAGTCCAATAAAGGCAACAACAGTTGAGGAGGTGGAATCAGTCCTCAGCTGGCTCACAGGAGGAGCTACAGTTGATCAGCATGTCATTTATTCCAAATAAACATATTACACATAAATCAAACCCACTCTTTATCAATAGCTAACACTAATAGTTAACAAGTATAAACAGTAAAAATATTTTATGGAAATATTTTGATCCATTCACTTCCTCATTCATTAGCTTGTCCATTTTCTCTATTTATTCTCTACAGTTGGTTAATAGCTGAGCTTCACTCACCCTTGACATGCAAAAATATTTCACTGCAATCTTCTGAAGAACATTTAAAGAATACAGAAAAATACAACTACTGTAATTTAAGTACACAGAATTCCAGATAAGATTCTCTTAATGTATGTCACTCCCATCCTTCCTGGAGTCAGAGTCCACTATGAAATTATTTCCACTTAAACCCATTTTCTTTTATCAAATATTGATCCAAAACCAACCTGTTTCTTTATCTACTTCTCCAAGACATGAGTAGTGACTTGTTAGTTCTGCCAAGTAACCCAGCTTATAAAATGAAACTGCTTCACCAAACCACTGAAATTGTAAATTATGCTTCCCATGTATAAATGATAATACAAAAAAAACATATAACAATGTCCTGGTTTAAGCTGAGGCAGAGTCAACTTTCTTCAGAGCAGCTGGTGTGAGGCTATGTTTTGGATTTGTGCTGAGAAGAAGGCTGATAACATACTGATGTTTTTTAGTTGCTGCCAGAACAGTCAAGGACTTTGTAGTTTCTCTGCTGTCCCGGTGTCTGCAGGTGCACGAGAAGCTGGGAGGGAGCACAGCCCCACTTACTAGACTAGGATTAGACCTTAGGTTTAGGATTGAGACCTAAATTGGCCAATAGTCTATTCCGTATCATGCACGTCATGCCCAGTATATAGATAAGGATCTGTCCAGAAGTACTCTCTCTTGCTCCGGGAGGGTGAGGGTGTTGTGGTGTTTGGCTGGCAGCCAGGGTCAAAACTACGACAGTCCATTTTGACACCCAACATGGGGCTCGAGTGGTTGAAATAAGGACAGACTTGAACAGAGTGTATTAAAACAAACTTCCAATAAGCATTCATTATGTTTCCTAAGATGTCACTGGAAGAAACTGTTTTGGGGGTTTTTTATGCATTCTGGGACTTGGCTTTAGAGCTCTATGATGTAGCACATTATTTGCCATATGTGCTTTTGCTATTTTCTGGTGGGACTATTATCTGTAGGTGTTGCATTAAGAACATCATGTTGCTGATTAAGGGGATTGTTTTGTTGTGCTGTTTTTTGGTGGCCTATGGTGGGATGACAGTGTTGTCGGTATTGATATTATCTGATTGTGCAACAGTTGGCATCAAGCCAAGTGAAGCTGCGGCTTCATCCCCATACTCTGCATGCCATCTGGCAGACATTTCTGCCAATTACACTGGCAACCAATCTATGTGCATGATGTTTCCCTTCACTGACCCCGACTCCTCCAGACCATTTTCAAAGGCTTTTGAAGATTTTGAATATTATTGGGATTTCTAAACTAGTTTGATCCTGTTGCAGAATGTATGTCTAATTATACATAACACTCGCAGTGGGGTCATCGGCTCCACATTTCTTA